TACAAGTCAATTCCGATAATTTGCAGAAAAAAATAATGTTTTTTATTTAATAATAATACCAATTATTTTTTTCTACAAATTCTAGGAATTTCCATATAAAGTTATAGTTGATTTAACTTTTAAACCGTTGAACATAAACTAGTAAAATGATATATATATATATATATATATATATATATATATATATATATATATATATATATATATATATTCTTGAAGAAAATTTAATTATTAAAAATTTTCTTCCTCATGGCTTCATCGTAGAACGAAGCAATCAAGAGAGCTTGTTAAATACAGTAAAAAAACATGAGGTAAAATTTTTTTTTTTCCAAATTAGCGATGGTTGAGAACGGACATCGGCGAAAAGAAGTATATCATCAAACATATTTCAAATTTTATCTGCTTTAATTTTGTATATATAGTTTTCCTTATATAAATGAAAATCCGAACTACAGCTATAAACATAAAACATAAAAGATTTTTTTTTTCGTTTAAATTAGCCATAATTGAGAGCGGGTATCCATTTGTTTTTCACTTGGATTGTAAGGTAATTTGATCCCAAAATCGAGAAAAAAGGTACCGTACAAAAGTATTGGGCCGTTTGACCTATATGACCTCGTTATTTTGACATTTCGGTGTATAGGTCACGTTAAACTGGTCAATATTTTTCAAGGGCAACATTCTTCTCGAGTTTGTCCTCAAATTATCTATCGTTCCAAGTGAAAAGCAAATAGGTATATAGTTTTTGGTACTTAATTAAATATACAAGGTTTGATGATCTCCAGATTGTAAATGCCCCAATTTCGAGAATCTCTGTAAATAAAATATTTGTTGGTTACCATTAGATGAAGCTACTTGCGAAGTTTCAGGCGAATGTTTATAACTTAATTAAAAGGAGTCTGTACCACGGACTATTAAGCGAGGAACCGAAAAAAATATATAATGAATCATATTGCAGATTTTACCAACTTTAATTTAAAATAGAACGTCTTTGTCGATACGATGGATAGTTTTCGATTGTATTTGGATAAGCGAAAAAACGAAAAAAGTGATCTATTATGTAATGATCTTCCTCCCAAAATCTGGCTCACGCCATCTACGAGTGGGGACTTTTAATATGTTTACCTCCTTACTAGTCCAATCATTTTCCTAAGACAAATATTTAATCTCCTCTATTTCTTTCTATACCCTCTTGCTGGACTGGATGGACTAATAATACATTTCACTAAATTATTTCTATATTATATTTTCAATCGTTCTCTAATTAATATGTTATGTGAATTATTCGTAGTAAACTTATATTTTAACACCGTAAAATGTATATTAAATATAAAAAGAAGTAAACTATTTTAGAAGAAGAAGAGGGCATTTTAGATATTCTTTATCCTCATAGTTCTCATCCTCTCCTTTGAATACCTGCTTTCATGGAAACGACTCCAAAGTGGCGGTTTACGATGGCCTGGAGGCAAGAGAGATTGCTGAGAGGCTGGAAGAGCTACGCCACCGATAGCCTGGAGGAAGGATCTTGAACAGTAATCAGAGACCTTCAGGAGTGGAAGGAGTGGAGGAGATGGTATCGAAGGATGGTAGAGCTCGAGGCAGCCCCAGGACCTCTTCTTCGTTTTGTGGCCTCGAGGCAGATAACATTCTTCTTCCCTGCCTTGTTATTACCCCGAGCCCCCCACCTCTCCCCTTCTCCCGATATCTGTCCATCTCTCACCTCCCAGAGGTCGTTATATCGTTTAAACATTATCCCGATTGTTACAGTTAGTTATGAGTCTCGTTATGGGCCTCGCACGAAACTCCAAGTCGAAAACACTCAGTATCGATGGGTTTTTCGATCCGGTACTAACTAACGACTAGAAGTGGGCAGGTAAATCGATTCTAAAAGTCGATTTCTCTGAAATAATCGTACTCTCAGATGGATCACACGAAAGAATGACGATTCATTCAAACTTAAAATTTTTATTTTTTTAAAACAAATTTATTGAAAATTTACAACTGTGTTACATGAAAAATATATCAAGTAAATATGAAATAAGTAACATGACATTTACAACATAAAGAGAAACAACCCATTGGTAGGACTCCTATCATAATTCTACAGGGTGTTTCAGGGTTAAATGGCCAAATTGAAAATATGAATGATTTTGAGGTCCTTAGCCATAAACAAGAAAAAAATTTCTTCTGAAGGTATGTCCGTAAACGCTTTGTTTAGGAGATATTCACACCTAAAGATTTTCGTTGTTGTGAATTATTTACGTTATATGAAATAAATAAGTTATTTATTTGTTCCAACTACTTTATTAATTTGTACACATGAGAACGAGGATTCTTAATTTTAATAAAAAAAAAAAATGTTTTACTTAAAATATTCTTTTTTAATTTTTTTTTCTGTTGGCATTCCAGATATTGTAGATATTTTATCGCTTCTTTGTTGTTGATTTTATTTATCCATTACTAATTGGACTTCCACGTTGTCTTTTGCCTTCTATTGAGGCATTCATTGTAGCGTATAGGCTTCCAGATGGATCGCTACGAGCAACATTCTCCGCCCATCTTAACCTCCATGATTTCATATCGTGGGATATTGATTGAGCAGTTTCTGTAAGCAGTTCTTTATTGGTCTTTCTTCTCCATATATGTTAGTACTCTGATCCCAGATCGCTCCAGTTATCATGCGAAGGATTTTTGTTTCAAATCTTTTAATTCTTTTTTCTACGGTGCTTGATAGTGCCTAGGTCTCACAGCCATATATTAGTATTGGCCTTATCATACTAGTTCTTTTTTTAATCTAAAGAATAAATAACATGAAAATAATCGAAGAATCATTCATAAGTATCAATTCACCACAATAATTGAATCGTTTCAGCTAAAAGAATCTTATTTATGATCTCTACTAACCACCTACAGTAGAGATACCATGGTTGAACCAAAAAGGGATGGTGAAGAAAATATGGATAAATATGATTTTTAATTTGGCTCCAGACTTTTAATTTGACTATAATTCGAACCCTTGGTCCAATATTAGAAAAAGAAATATTGCAGACCTCAATACTCCTTCACCAACTACAAATAAATAGAGCAAATATTTGATAACTTATCTATACTAGATATGGCGTTATTATTGTTTGATATTTGCGTGACTACTCGTTTCAGAAAAGACCTAGATCTACACCGAAATATTGATACGATGCAACGAGATATATATCTATTGGGAACGGGATAGATCAGAGAGTAAGGTACTGAGTACCTATTCTCCGAGTTTAAGTAAACGGCAATAACAGGTAATTATTTGTTCTGTTACATCTGTAGTGGACCAATTGTGGAATCGGTAGACTCTCCTAGGGAACACCATGACTCAAAAAAGTGGGTACCTATAATTAAATAATTAATTAAGGGGAGAAACCTAGCGATTGAGCGTGATCTTGGCCCGATGACCTTCCTGCATAAACTTAAGACTTGAAACAGTATCCCCTTACATAGAACTGAATCCAAGATCCACTATGGGTTATAGTAGTACAGGTTGTTTTTTTTGTTGTATATATATTTACATTCCTAAAGCCTATCCGGATGTATTTGGTGCAGAATTTTGGGTGGTCTTCCAAAAAAACAAAACAAAAATAAGCAGGGACAACTTTCTTAAATTGATTTACATAGTAATCGCTGTCATTGGAATAAGGCATCTTGATCAAACAACGAAAGGCTAATTTTTACATTTTCTTTTTTTATTTCGACGAGATAAGAGTTGATAATATTTTTTTTTACATCATCACAGAACGTTAGAAAGCTTTTTATTCATAAAGGTATTAAGAAAAAATGTTTTCAGAATCGAAAATTTTCGTTCGCGTTTTAAGTTTTAAAAATCAAGAAACAAATTTAGTTTATGAAATGAAAAGAAGAAATAATTTTATTCTGGGACTACTGTCCCCTAAGAATAATAACAGAGTTACAAATTTATGTATTTTAGTCTGACATAATAAAAATACAACTAATTTACTGTTAATTGTTATTTCAATTGTGCAATGGATTGAAATTAAACATTGTATAGATGCAAGTAATTTTACATGTTAGGGGAAGTTTGAATGTGGAGTAGGTGTTGGAACAGGAGTTGTTTGAAGGAATTTGTGGACCAGGATTGACGCATGGAGGTAGGAAGTGAGTTCCATAAGGAAGCAGCACGAATGACCAAGGATTTGCTGAAGGAGGAAGTTTTATGGGAGGGAATATATAAGTCTATAGGTTGAGACCTAGTATTGAGAGAGTGGATAGAGGAGCGCAGAGTAAGGAGTTCCAGGATGTAGGGAGGGTTTTTGGTTCTGAAGACTTGGAAAAGGAAAACACCAAGGAGGAATTGTCGTCGGGAAGTAGGATAAAGCCACTTCAACGTTTATGTGACGAGTATAAAACATAATTGTCCGATTTTGACTGGTACTTGATACCAATGATTCTATGTACATTTCCTCATATAAAATCTACTATTTCTATATGAGTAAAATTTATTTTCCATGATTCGGCGATATTTACTTTTGCTCCTTCCCGACATTTTTACTATAAAAAAAATTAACAAAACACATTTTCATACAGATAATAAAACTCTAAAAAACACGGCATGTGTATGTTTTGAAGAATTGTAAGTTTTCAGAACACTGAAAGGATTGTTATAGTTTGGTCAAATATTGGTCCTGCGTCGTAACAATACTAACTTAGAGTTAGTTCATCCAGAAAGCTAGTCGAGAAACTTGATCGTTTAAAAGGACCTTTAGATATAAATTTAATTTAAAATTTATATTGAAATAGTACATCAGATATAATAAAATGTTTTATGGATATATAATAATATATTTCATACACCTTTTCCATAAATTTACTACACTTTATAACATAGAAGGGTCAATCACATTTCCATATATTTGGATTTCATCGATAAACTGAAAACAAGGAGAAACATAACCAATTGGCTCAATGCAGTATATCTTAGTTAAGATTCATCGACTCACTCTTTCCCTTTACGAACTCGTTTCCCTTGTGGGACAGTTCGGTGTGTTCGGCAGCCGCGACCACGGCGGGCAGCAGGATGAAGAGGAAGCCGAACATCCCGGCAGCCCATGACACCTCCTTCACCTCATCGGGTGGCGGCTCCAACTGCTCTAGGATCTATCTGCAACAAGAGGAAGAACAATTAAAAACAATGGTACAAATAAGAACTAAACTAATAAACAATAAAATGAGACTAATATAATTGTAAGTATAAGGAAGAGTTTAGAAATGTTTTTTTTTTTTTCTTAACCCCAATGATATAATACAAATGAACAATTTTTTATTTTTGTCTTGAACGCCTTTTACTGTAACTATGTTACATTTTAAGGCCTTATTGAAATTGTGTTTATGTTTTGTTGTAACAATAATTATTAGATGTATCAGTAAAGGTTATGGGGCTCACCCATTTTTGTGTTTATAAGGATCTTATTACCACTTAATAACTAACTTACTATCTAAGATTGAGAGAAGACTGAACTTTGCCACCGAACTGGAGTCGGTCCTGGAGTTAGCGTATCGAAAAGAGGATTAGGGAGTGCTTTCAGGGAGCCCATAAGTTTTACATGTCGTTTTAGAATGAACTGTTCAATCGTGGGAAGTTCAAAGGTTTCTTGCAGCTGATCTACTTTTAATTTTTTCAATGAAGTGGATAGAGTCATTTTTCTCAATACACTGTTTTGGTATCGTTGGATGTGTTTTAGTGTGTCGTCAGTAAGATGTGTGAAGAGTGGTGCGCCGTACATCAAGGTAGGTCGTAAAATGCTTTTATATATTAGCAATTTAAGTCTAAGTGGCAGTGTTGGGGAAGTTAGAAGATGTTGGAGTCTCTGAGTTTTCAGTCTTACAGATTTGGTTTTGTTATAAATGTGAGTCGACAGTTTCATATGTCGATCTAGCTTAATGCCAAGGTAGACGATGGAGCGAGACGGTGGCTGAGTTGTTTTTCTAATTTTGAAGATCTTTGGTAGCCTACATTTTTGAAGAGAGAATACTACACAATCGGTTTTTGAGCTGTTCACTTTAATATTTAAGAGTTACAGCTTATGTATAATTGTATGGCAGCCTCGGGTTGAGCTAATGCTTTGTAGGGTTTACGCTTGCACTATAAACGGCTATATCGTTGGCGAAAGCGGCAATGGTAGCGAGTTTGTAGTTCTGACCTATGATGTCCGCCGTTTAGATGCAAAATAATAGTGGTGAAAGAACTGCTCAAGAAATGTTAGATTGTGCGCGCGATAAATATATCGATACATCGAATATACTCTTCGTGAGGAATGGAGAATCCCAAAAAAATCATTTGCTCAGATGTTGCATTTTACATTTGATACTTTTTATTTGTCGGCCTGAGATTTCTACTGAAGTCCTATAATGAACCTATTGTTATGAATTGAAAGTTGTTTAAAAATCAGTGAAGCTCTGGACCAAATCGAACCGTCCTATCGGAGGAGGTCGCCGTGACCAGATTAAGGTTAGGACACACAAATCTGACTCATATACATCTCATCACTAAGCAGCCACCACCAAATTATCAACACTGCAATGGCCTTCTCACTGTCAATCATATTTTCCAAGAATGCTCTTATTACAGAATAACGAATCAAACATAAAAACAGTAATACATTTTCTTAAAATCCATAAGCCATTAAATAAAATATGGAAATAAATATCATATCTATTTTATTATTTTTTTTTTATTCCTATATATTTAATTTTGTAGATGTTTTAAAAAATATTTTTTTCCATTTATTATTCTATATTTCTATTATTAATTTTTGATTTATTTTTGATGTATATAACAGACTCATAGGCGTTGATGTCCCTTAGGTTTTACGCCTTAAAACCTAAACAAACAAACTCTATTGATATATTATACAAGAATGAAAGTTTGTATGTGAATTATTGTTATTATTTTTTGAGGGGATATTTATTTCAGTATTTCTAATATTTGCTGTATTTTAATATAACGTGATATGAGTCCTCGATGAAGTTGCATATCAAACATTTATCTTTTTTTAATAATGTTATTACATCTTATATTATTTTGCACATTATAAATACTTGAACACCTGTACTGGTAACATGTCCTGATGATCACCCACAAACTTTGGTTGAAACGACAATAAAAATCTTTATGAAAATAGGAGGTAGTCATTTTTTAAAAAAAAATTATAGCCAACGTTTCAACCCACGTTTGTGGATCATCAGGGCATGTGACAGCACTGAAGCTGTTTAAGTACTGATCATGTATTGACATCTATCATCCATGTACTTGTTTCTTGTTGCAGCCCAGTAAATTTCACCTTCAGTCCTGGCTTTGCTTCTAACATCATGAAGTCCGAGACAAGTATGTAGATGAAGAGCTGTCATTTATTCTTATCGACATAGTGGTCATACTGCTGATTCGACAACTCCAATACAGTGGAGGTGGCTTTGGAGATATTAATGTCTGGTTTTCATCCTAAACTATGCAACGGCCTCACTTCTAGGGAAATCTTTTGATACTCTTCCATTTTCTTCTAGTATAGCCATTTCTGTTCCAATTCTCCAATGATTTTGATTAGTTTTTTTGCCGTGTCAAGAAATGTATTGACAATCTGGCTGATCTTTTCCGGCACCTTCTTTTGCTGATTGGTCAGTTTTTTTCATTACCTGGCAACCCACAGTGTGTTGGTATCCACAGTAAAACATCTGTGTCTTCTAAAACCAGCTCCTCGACCAATTCCTGGTATATATAAATTTGATTAGTGGAACAGCAGTTAGGATCTGAAATGGCAATTATTACAGCCTGCGGATCAATGAGGAACACAGCTTTTATTCCGCTATCGAAGCTACTCAGTTTTTTTATTGATATTTATAAAATAAATATAATAGATATATGGTCAGAATAATTATTGAATTTTTTTATCCTAATAATATTTTTGGATCTCATTTTCTATATTTTATAAAAAAATCTGGTGACAAGCAACAGGTCACAAAGTGAAGTTTTACGGTGTCCCATCCTGCCGCCCGTTAAAAATTAACGTTTCGGACATTGACTGGCCTTTTGTCCCGCTCGTGGAAGACAGAGATAATAGATGTTAAGGAGTTGTGTTAACGGTAATCCCTCTGCTGGTAGTATACATAATAGAGAGAGAAAGAGAGAGGGGGGAGGGACATTTTGTATCGAGATGGCCGTGATAGGCCGAGGCACACCTAGGAATGCGGTGGCCTATAGCTAACAAAAGGCTCTATAGAGAGTTCCTTTATGTATTGTGTGGTCTCTCTCCTCGTCTCCAGGGAACGAACGCTCTATGTTCCAGCGATGTGCCCAGCTGGAGGATACGTAACAAGGTTAGACGCGCCAGCGCGTGCAGAACCGGTCCCAACCCGCTAGAGTGTGTGTACGAGTGGCTCCCTCTTGTAAGGGATACACAAGTATGTAATATGTATGCGTGCCGCGTACAGGGGGCGAATATATCTGTCAAGACTGAAGCATCAACATGCTTGATATGGCCTCCTTAAATTGTAGGTGTCACTACGCATAATTTTATTATTCTTGAGATTCTACATATAATTCTATTCTGTAAAATTCTGCCCCGCCCAGAAAAAAAAAAATGAAAATTATAATAAACTGGTTTATTGTTTCCAAACAGTTATATATATATTGAATATGATTAAAATTCCTTCTATTTTATTAAGAAATATAAACAATAATCTGGTCGATAGCTTTTTAATATCTGTAAATATCTGTAAAAAATCGTATAATTTCAATTTTTGTTTTGTAGAAAATTTTATCAACTTTAAAATAAGTGTGTACTTCTTAAGTTATCCGCAAATAAAAATTGCATTCATCTTAACTTTATTCCAATATAATTTAATTATTTCCAATAAAGCTGCCTTTCAGTACAGAAGAACAATTTTATTCTCTTTATAGTGTGCAACTGCTATAAATGGTCTGCTAATTAGGAAAACAACAGAAGACAATAAAATATGAAATTACACTAATAAATTATAAAGAAATAATCGGTTTTTATGCTCCTCTGTAAACAAATTTTTACATACGACATTTTGCACTAACATTAGCGATATATATCTTCACGGGTGATAAATATTCGGAAAAGTTTTATAAAGTTTATATTGGTTCCTACGTTTCAACCCAAACATGTGGGTCATCATCAGTGCTCGAAACACGCCCAGGTGATGACCCACATGTTCGGGTTCAATACGAATACATGTCATAACTTCAATACGACTTTAGCTATCTATATAAAATTTATTAGAAATTTGACTACACAAAATGACACCAACAGAACCTTCGCAAACAAACTACAAATGGAGATTAAAAAAAAACTAAAAGGAGATTCTGTTTTATCATTCCTTATGTAGGTATTAAATAAAAAAAAATAAAAAACATTCATGCGTCTTTGAAGAGCAATAATTCAGTTTTCCAACAGATATAGTAACATCGAATTTGGAGAACATCCTGAAGAGTTATGGATGATCGGAACGGTGTTGTGTTCCACCAAGACATTGCACTGAGGCCCCACGCCTCATTGGTCACACAATAAATTATTGAGCCTTGGATGGGCTCCCTATTCACCAGATCTAGCTCCAAGAGACTACCACTTACTCCGTTATCAGCAGAACTCCACGAATGTAAAGAAATTCCAAAAGAAAGAGGACATTAAAACTACTTAGATCAGTTTTTTAACAATAAATCCAGAAATTCTATTAACATGGCATTATGCAGTTAGTGGGAAAAATTCATATTAAATAATGACAATTAATATATTTTAGATAAAAATTAATTTTATGTCTATAATACATTCAGTTTTATTCCACACTAAAAAACCGAAAAGACTTATTTGCCAACCCGATCTTTTTAATTCTCAAGCATGCATGACAATAAGATGTTTGAAAAAGGAAGCATTGATTTTCTTTTAAACGTAAATAACATAAAATAAATAATATAAATCGTTCTATGATTATTTATTCAAAATGGAACAATAATTAGAGCAATTGAACAGTAGCGTTCGGTAACGATTCAGTTGAGAATATAAATAAGAGGTAGGAGTTGGAACGAGAAGAACCGGCCTCCCTAAGGCGAACCAGCGCAGCCTTGGCACACTTACTATCGCTAAAGGTTCCACAAGGATATCGCTTCGAAATCCCGCGTATAAGTTCCTTATTTTGGAAACGTAAAATATTGTAGTAATTTGAGTTAGTGTGATGTATTCTTAACATCTTATATAATATTTTATAAAGAAAATTAGAGGCGAAACAGAAACATCTGAGAGCTGTTTTTTTTTTTTTTTTTTTTTTTTTTTTTTTTTTTTTTTCCAAAGGTAATAAAAGTAATCCTAATCAGGCCAGATGGGTTTTCTTCAAAATATAAAAAAATAAAATAAAAATCAGCTGTTTTTATTTAATTATTTTACATTGCACAGTAGCGCATCTAGCAAATTTGATGTAAAATTATTTAATCCGTGGTGCAGATCTCTTTTTATCAAATTATTAACATCCGCCTGAAACTTCGTAAATAGTTTCATCTCATCGCAACCTACAAATATTTTATTTTGGAAAATTCTCGGAATTGTAGCTTTTTCAATCTGCAGATCTGCAAACTTTTTCCATTTAATTTTGTACTAAAAACTCGCAAATACCCATTTCCTTTCAACTGGAATGGTAAGATAACTTGAGCACAAAGTCGAGAAACAAAGGTGGCCTTCAAAAATATTGAGCCGTTTGGCCTTATATGCTCGTTATTTTGACAATTTTGGGGTGTAGGTCACGCAAAACGGCTCAATATTTTTGAAGGCCATCTTTTTTTTCCCCTTTGTGCTAAAATTATCTTACGATTCAAGTTCAAAGGAAATGGGTATTTACGAAATTTTGCTACCTAATTAAATAGAAAAGGTTTGCCAACCTATAGATTGAATACCCAATATCGAGAATTTTCGTAAATAAAATATTTGTGGGTTACGACGAGATGAAGCTATTTACGAAATTCAGGCGGATGTTAATAATTTGATAAAAAAGGAATCTGTATCACAGACTATTATTTTAATATATTATCTTTAACCATTCAAAATGCTAAAGCAATTGCAACTTTATGTTTAAACTTCGATACTATGCAGAAAAACTTATTTTTCGTAATTTTCGTTATTATATAACTATAAATAATTATATACGATAACATACATATGTATACATTGCCTTATATAATAAATATACATATACATATATATATATATATATATATATATATATATATATATATATATATATATATATATTATATACATCTCATTAGGTATGTGAATATGGTCAATTTACAAACCTTAGTATGAAAGTTTCTGATTTTTTTTGTATATATAAATAATGGTCTTGATTTATTGATTTATTGGTGAAGCAGCAGATCTCTGGATCATTTTCTTTTTAATCTGAGTTTAACAAGTAATAGTAAGGAGGAAATCGATGGAACGAATAAAGATTGAAATGTTGAGTATTTGTTTTGGATGTAGTAATATACCATAGCGCGTTAACAGTATTATGTTGTATTCTGTTTTTCTGAGTCCCTTGGATAAATTGATCTCAAGCTTTGTAGAGTGAGTAGCTTGTTTTGTGAGTTAATTGAAAATCTTTAGTCGAGACGAAGTGAGGGTTGGTTAGTTCTATCGTTCTATCGTCTAGTCAGTTCTTGTATTTTTAATTTTGTATGTTTCTTCCAAGTAAGTCTTTTGTCTACGTAGAGTCCAAGGTATTGTAGATAGTATTTTGTAGAGATTGAGTTGTTATCAATGGTTAAAGATAAATAAGAACCTTTTTCTAAAGAAAAAAACAAACGTTGCTTGATCTAGAAGCGTTGATTTTCATTTTTTAATTACAGAACAAATTATAATTGCAATATAACAATCAAAACTGTAAAATTAAATGCAAGTTCATAGAATCTTGAGATATTTTAAAAAGTACTCAGATGTTGAGGTAACTTCTTAATTATTGCACAGGATTCTCGTTATTTGATAAGATATCTCGAGTAAATAGAAAACTTCTCTCGTTATAAACTTCTTGACAATTAGATAACTGGTTATACGAATAATAAGTATTTCGACAACAAAAAGATATATGTACAATATTACAAAAAATGCATACACATTATTATACATATATAACAGTAACGATCCTACAGTTTATCTCAAGTACCAATCTAGGTACTTAGAATCCAGGTACTAACAAAAAAAATTCCTAAACAATTCACCAAAATTAGATTAACAATAATATATGATATATTAATAAACATATACTTGATTCCAGGGGTGTTTTTTCCTTTTTAGAACTGTTACAGATTTCTCAAATACATATGATTTAGTAAATTATTAAGATTCTATTAACGTGGTTTCTACTTTGTGTTTATCTATTGTTTAATTTTCAATAAAACATTTATTTTAGTTTTTAAATAACAACTCTTATCTTAATAAAAGTAACTGTTACTAAATATAACAGTTACTTTTAAATATGAAAACGATACTAATGTAAAAAATACGCGATTTCACATATACTCCCCTAGTCATTCCATAAAGTTCCGTCAAAAAGGAATACTTTTAAGAAACTCAATGAAAAAGGATTCATTTCAGCCAATTTGATTCCAGATATATTTATATATAACAATAAAGCATAAATATAAATAATAACAATAAGCATATATAAAAAAAAAAACAGATTTTACTATTAAGAATTTACATTTTTTTTTTTTTTTTTGTATTTTCTCTAAAAGGGTTTATTTATATTTTACCATTGTACATAGTTTTAAGTATCTTAGTATGGTTTCGAGAGTTTTGTATATAGATTATTTTATTTTATTTTGTATATATTATGTATAACTAATATTTTTTTTTTGTTTTTTTACTGATTTATCTTTATCTTTACTTTTTATGTTTGTTTTTATCTGGCCAGATGTAAAATTTTAATTTCTGTACTTTTTTGTTATTCTGAAGGGACTTCGTCCTAGAATAAAATTATTTTCTATTCTATTCTATTCTAAAGCAATTTATAATTGAAACAGTTCTGTTGCCTGCTTCACTTACTTGATAATAAATCGATACTTCAATGCATGTTTCGATACTTTACGGTTTTTCCTGCCAATGTTTAAGAGAAGAGGATTAATAATAGTATTCCTTTTTTTTTTTTTTTTTTTTTTTCGTAATATTCAAGTGGATTTTAAAAAAAGGACTATCCATATCAGGTAGAAGTTTTTTCTTTGAAGCATAAAACGTAAAATGCAAGGGGAAATTTTCTATCCTCTGGAAAAATATTATTTAATTCCCTGCACGAATTCAATGCATGTAATTCCAACATTCAGAGTACTGAGGAAGCAAAAACTGTTTATATTCTCGATGAATAGGATCTATCTTTAGAAGTTTATGTAACGAAGATTCTTAGTAAACTGTTCTGTTTGCAAATGATAAGGAATTCAAATGAAAAATTGTTGTGTTTATGATCGAGATGCATAATTTTATTTGCAGAACCATCTTCTAGTTACAAAAAATCTGTCATTTCATCCGTTTATTTTTAAGCGAAAACTTATTTTGTGGCGAGTGAATTAGATTGAGCGAGTCAGATTTCCGATTTGTAACGCTCGGGCAATGTCGGCTGGAGTCGATTAATTCAAGTGTTTTTGCATATGGATTAAAATATCTCAAAAATTCAAAATCGAATCTGCATATAACCCTCCCCCCCCCAAAAAAAATTAAATCCTAGATTCGCTAGTGACTCAAGTCTGTACGAGCTTCACTGATTCTCTGATATGAGATATGAAGAAGAATTTCAAGCTCCTCTGCGTTTTTTACAGAGATACCGACCGGTATTTGGAAGACTTTAATATTTATAAAATAGTCAAACATTTGATCGTGTTTATAAAATTGTCCGCTAAGAGAAATTTCACTATATATTATGGCCTTCCCCTATAATTGAGATAGAAGGATGCCCATGATTTTAAGCTTTGAAAATGAAAATTGTTTACTTATCACACTTTCAAATCTTTTACGAGTTTCTCTTAAATCTTGTGGTGGATCGGCTATCCTGAAAAAGACATAGAACCGGCGGCGGAAATCAAAAGATCGACCGGAGGAGAACAGCCATTAGCGAAGACTTCGAGGAATCCAGGGAACGATCCTTGGCCTTCTTTCCACATTCCCATTGGCCATCAGGACACTCTACCACTACCAGCACCAAAAGGACGACATCAGAGTCCTTCTTGTTTTTGTCTGAGATAATCTGGAGGAACTATGAGACTTCCTTTAGTATAAAAATAAAATAAAGGAGTCCGAAGATATAGAACCTCCTTAACTATTTGTTGAAGGATTGGATTTAGAATCACTAGCGGATTCAGGATTTAATTTTGGTGGGAGGGGCTTTAGTCCGAAGGATTTTTTTTTCATATATATAACGATAATTTATTTGAAAAAAAAAGAAAGAAACTAACTACCTATATGACATGGCGTCTTAGGATTTTAGAAGTCCTATTAAATGTAATTACACGAACAACAATAGTTTAAGGGGCAGTTTTTAATATTTATCTTTTAAAACGTGGTTATATTTTACCAATTCGGGGGAGGGGGACTTTAACCCGAAGCCCGCAAGAAACATAAAAATGATTTTAGCTATGTTCATCACAAGTGTATGTTTGAATTAAATATGATTAGTAAATATGAACAGAAATATAAGCAATGTCATGAAACATATTTGTCCATAAACTACCCAATGGTACCATATTTTAATAGCTCTAAGCTAGAAGGTCATCTTATTTTCTGATGACTAGGAGGATCACCAAGAACCGAGTAGTAAGCAAGGTTGAAAATAAGTGAGTCCGGATGGTTCTAAACTTTATCACGAAAGGATACGCATCTGGCGATATAAATATAATTATTTTAAACTCCAAATAATTCCGGAATATATTTGGTATTTTTGTTGCACGAATAAAGTATCGAATAAGCAAGTATGATCCTCTGGAGCGAAGACTTCAAGTGGTGAAGAAAAACGTTAAAGAACTCTTGAAGAGTGGCAATCGCGAATGAACCATCGAAGAACCACAGACCACAAGCTCATCATTAGGCCATGATGATATGTTTGAGCGCATAGGTGTGCCTCAGGGACCGTTAGTGATACAACACTATAGTCTAGGTTCAAGCCCCGCATCTTAGGTCATTTCTGATCCGTGTAACAGTGGATTGAACGGATCATCTTGGAACGTCTGTGTTGGATGAAGTGTAGTAGCCCAGGTTTACGAGGTTTAAAGATCTTAAAGATCAAAATAGTGCCTCGAACAAAATTTTTTTTAACTACACAAAATTATATTTTTATTAATAAAGTCTAAGGATTAAATGCACCGTCGACCTCTGATGTAAATTTTTTTTTTGGGGAGTGAATTAGATTGAGTCATCAGATCCGATGTGTAACGCTCGGGTAAATCGGCGGGAATCGATTAATTGAAATGTTTTTGCATATGGACTAAAACATTTCAAAAACTGAAAATTGGACCTGCATACTATAAGCGAGAGAAATGTTCACCATTTCGTCCTCTTTGTAATGAGCTATTATTCAAAAGTTAATGCGACGCCGTATTAAAGAGGCGAAGAGGAAAAAATAGTGTCGAAAAACAAATGATAACGAGTTTTATTGAAAATATGAATAAACATATCGCGGAAACTAAAATTCGGACCTGCATACTATAAGCGAGGGAAATGTTCAGTATTTCATTCCCTTTATAATGAGCTATTATTTATAATTTATATTTCATAATATTAATCTAGTCTTGTTGATGTTTTCACTTCTATGGTGTGGTCTAAAGCACCTAGGTTTTTTTATCAGGTTCAAACTTTGACCTAGTCATGATATTGTCTTCCCTTAGTGTATTAATAATGATAGGAATATTGAATTTTGTATTATTATTTTTTTTTTAACCTTTATAGAAAATTTTCTAATAGTTTCTAAAAATATATTGATAAATAATTAAGGTGATAAATGGTCAGCACGCAGTCAGCATTTAAGATTTTTATTGTTGCCAACGTTTCAACCCAAGCTTGTGGGGCATCATCAGAACATGTCAACAGCACAGAATGTGTTCAAGTTTTTAAATATATATATATATATTTTTTTTCTTCTTTTGTTTACATTACAGACCATGTAGATATCCCATCTTAACCTCGTGCCTTAATATCATGGGATATTGATTGACCAGTTTCTGTAGCAGTTCTTTATTGGTATTTCAACCGTGTGTTAGTACTCTGATCCCATATCGCTTCGGTTATCATGCACCTTTCTCTCAAATCTTTTAATACTTTTTCAAGAGTTCTGGTTAGTGTCCAGTTATCGCAGCCTTAAATCAAAACGTATATACATATACATTGGGTGTCATTATTTACAACTATGTTTATTGTCAGCTCTTATTTTTTTAAATTGTGTATGCTATTTTTTGCAGTTGAGTCTTTTGCACAAGTATAGTCCAAATATATTAAATATATACTGCTGGACTTGAAACTTCTTCCTGAGAACTAATTTTCAAGTATTGAATTGCTTCGATGGAGATTGATTCTACACTTCTTTTTTTCGTATTTCGAGTACTCACTATCGAGTTCCCACATCGCAGAATTGACCACGTCATTGCAGACTCCATTAAATCCTATTTCGACCACTCACAATACCTCGTTTCGTCCTTTTTGAGAAGAGGACGTTATCTTTAATCAGAGGCGATTCCCGCGATGTAATTCACAACGCATTTTATGCCGAGCAGTTCCATCAGGGTACCAAAGAGACGGGGTAAGTACGTGAGTTATGAGGGAGCTTTGTACGAGGGTGGGAAATGAAAAAGGACCATGAAAACAGAATGATCCCGAAGACGCTGCGAACAACACAACAACACGGAGCGGATCGAAAGCTGAGCCCAAGGGTTCTATAATTGTCTCAACTCTATACGATCCTTCCACTATACAACAATAGCTCTTATTAAAATACCACAAATTGTCCCCATGCCTCTCTATACGCTATATACTACCTCCTATCTACTATATACTCTAGCTACAATATACAATATAATTGTGTATAGCTACTCAACAATGTCTATTGTTCGATATGGACTCATCTACCCCAACCTATTCTATGGAAGGTCAGTAATCCTTGACGGTGTCGCCATTTTGAAAGCTTGTCTTCTTGTCATGAAAGATATAGGATTCCTCACTTCTGTTAAATTTCAATATTAACCAAAAATTTTAATAATGAATTTTTATTTTCTTGAAACAGTAGCTTAAAAAAAGAGGAATTTGCACTTAGAAAATATTAGTGTTGCCCAAAAGCGAGACAAAGACGAATCTCAGCTTCTTGCTATTTATTAAACATCTTAGAAATAAACCAGACTGAAACGACAAGAAAACTTCCAATTAATTACAAAAGACTCATATACATGACTATAATAAGAACTATTTGGACTTACGGAATTGAGCTATGGCGCTCCACTAAACCATCGAATTCCTCTCGCATCCAATCCTTACAATCTAAAATCCTTCGGAAAATCTTCAATGCTCCCTACTTTGTTACAAATAAAACTATCCATAATGACCCAATCCAGATACCTATCCTTCCATGATAAACTTCAGAATCATCCCAACCCTCTCGTTTCTAACCTTGCTTCCTCTTCAATTCCTGATAACCCTCCGAGGCGTCTGAAAAGAATAAGGCCCCGTGATCTTCTAATGTATACATATCATTAGAGTGCTATTATCGAGTAGTTTTTCAACAAGTGTTTTCACGTCATTATATCCATATGTTCAAATTTACTAAATGTATTTTTTTAATAAAGTTGTAGACATCATTAAGAAACAATACCAGACAATCATAGAAACTTTCGCTGGCCAAATATTGGAGACTTAGCTTGGACAAAGCAACTAGAGTTAGAAGTATTGAAGTTAGAATTAGACAAATTAGCGGAAAACCTTTATAAAATTAATACTCAAAGGTAGAAAAAGATCAGTTCTTCACTTGTCTACATTAAATGAAAATGTATAGGTAACTCTGATACTACATATAATATAAAATTCTAGGAATAGTAAACTCATAGTGACCGATATTAGGTAATCGAAAATATTGATATTGATGGTATGAAACTATCGACACATGAGATAGAGAGGTGACTAAGGAATCTATATCAAAGGCATATGTAAACCAGTCGTATTAGTCACCGTTGATATCAGACGATATCAATGTATTTGTAATCGATAGCTACCTAAACATCTTCAAATTCCGTTTAGAAGACACGAAAATCAATACTTAAGGAGACATATGCCCAATGCGGTTGCCATGAAATAGTTATCACTTGTCCTGCAAAATGGTCTGTATGTATGTATGTGCCTAACTCAAAAAAAAAAGCCTTACGAAACGATTTTCGTCAAAATCGGCAAACCGAAAGTGGTACTTTAAAAAAATCGATTAAACACATTTTTATTATCTTCTCAAAAACCGCTCTAACGATTTTGATTAAACTCAGTATATCATTGCATTATTAAGGATTTTTTTTTTTTTTTTTTTTTTTTTTAAACTAGTAAATCTAGTCAGGATGTGCTTGACGGAGGCACTCAATAAAGTTAGAATCGGTAATAATTTTTCCGAAAAATTTGAGGTTCGTTCGGGCTTAAAACAGGAGGATTCTCTTTCGCCTGTCCTGTTCAATTTGGCATTAGAACATGCCATTAGGGAGGTAATGCGAACCAAGAAAGGGTTGGATCTGGGCGGGACAACATCCGTGCTGGGCTATGCTGATGATCTGGTACTGTTAAGCGAAGACGTTGAAACTATAAAACTAAATACGACAACGTTAATGAAAGCCGGTAAAGAACTAGGACTCGAAATAAACGTGGATAAAACAAAATATATGGTTAGCTGCAAAAATGGCGATGCTACTGGTGATATCGATATAGATGGTAATATGTTTGAACAGGTAGATAAATTTAGATATCTAGGTTCTACGATAACTAGAAAAAACGAAATTGAAGAAGAGATTAAGGTTAGACTGAAGGCGGGGAATGCTTGTTATTTTTCTGTGACAAAACTACTTAGTTCGCGCCTCTTGTCCCGAAACTTAAAAATTAGAATCTATAAAACAATTATCTTGCCTACAGATGAGCAGCGTCTTAAGGTTTTTGAAAATAAAGTATTGCGTAGAATATTCGGACCGAAGAAGGATGAGTTAACCGGAGAGTTCAGACGGTTACACAACGCCGAATTGCGTGAGCTGTATCCGGGTAATATAATTGAGGTAATTTCATCGCGGCGAATCAAATGGGCTTGTAAAGTTGTTGGGCTTATTAACGAGAGAATTCCTAAAAGGTTAATATTTGCTGTGCCGAATGGTAAGCGTCCGAGGGGTAGACCGAAGCGAAGGTGAGAAGATTGCATTAAAGCCGATCTGAAGGGACTGGGTTTGGACGGCGAACGGTGGAGGGAGGTGTGTAACAAGCGATTGGTGGTGTCGGCATCGAACCTTCGGGTTCGCTATGCCTTATTATTATTATACATCTATATATATATACAAAATATTAATTTTAAGATAAACTAAAAACAAACAATTAATAGAAAATGGGCTATGATCAATAATTTGTGAATGTACTTTGTGTACTCCCATCATATAATAGTAAACTTTATTTAACTTATCCATACAATCGATATTCAATATGGTTTCGATGTTGTGGTTATCAGAAGATTCTGAGATGAAGTTTTGAAGGAATTTTTATCTATAGTCACTGTATGCTGGGCAGTGAAGGAAAATGTGATGTAGACTATTGCAGATAAATTGACTGCATGATATACAAGTTTCTTGAGACTCAATCGAAAAAGTTCTGTTTTTTGCATAGATTCTGATATGTTCTAATAAAGCAAATTTCTTACTGAATTCGCTTATACATGGAGTACATTAGGAAGAAGGATAGTTATCTGATGTGACCATACATTAATGAGATTAGTGTTTTCCGTACTTTAATTCTTGCTAAGAGTTTCTTAAGATCGGGTTCTGAAACAGAGCTTAGAGGTACGAGAGAAGCAATCCGGCGAGAACGCCAAAGAGATATAAGACGAGTCGTGCAGCGAGGGCTACCATAATCTCTAGGAGATATTTCCTGGAGCGGACTACAGTTCGTGGAGCACACCATCAC